TGTTGACAAGAAGGAGAGGGGGCTAGGCCGGAGGATGAGGAGGGGTTGGGGTTACAGTCACATGGTTTAGACTGAGGTGCTGAGCTGTTTGATAGAACCATTCCTTAGCTAGGGAACAGAAACAAGTTCTGGGGGAAAATTCACATGGGATGTGTTAAGAGCATCTCAAAGCAGAATTGTCTAATGCACAGAGCTGTGGGCCAATGACTTCTGAAATGAGCCTGGCCTGGGGATATGTATTTAAAAACGCATAGAGCCAGGCAAAGTGACTCACACCTGCAATCCTACTACTCAGGAGGCTGAGATCTGAGGGTTGAGGTTTGAAGCCAGTCTAGACAGGAAAGTCTGTGAGATTCCAATAAACTACCAAAAAAATCTGGAAATAGAGCTGTGGTAGAATGATAGCCTTGAGCAAAAAGAAGCTCAGGGACAGTGCCAGTACTAACACCCCCCCCCCACACACATATCACACACACACACACACACACACACACACACACACACGCACACACACACAGAGTCATTGCAATAGATGTAGTAATGGAGAAAATGGGAGTATGTTTGTCTAATGAGTGCATTAGAAGGAAAAATAAGACAAAGTAGCTATAGAATACCAAGATGGCTAGGAAAAAAAATGAGCATGGTACTAGAAGTTCAGTCCCGTGAACTCAAAGCCAATTTGCAAACCATGAAAACAGGATTTTGGAGAAAGATAAGTGAAATTTGGTTGATTTTGCCAGACAAAATGAGAGCTGTATGTGCTTCTTTTTCAAGAGAAAAAAGTACAGTCATTTAGTCTGAAGGAGAAGGATGGGTATGTATATATGTATGTATGTATGTATGTATGTATGTATGTATTTTAGTGCTAGCACTGGGGCTTGAGCTGACTGCCTGGGCACTGTCCCCGAGCTCTTTGCTCAAGGCTAGGATTCTACCACTTGAGCCACAGCTCCACTTCCATCTTTTTGAGGGCTAATTGACCAGGCTAGCCATGAATTGTGATCCTCTGATATCAGCCTCCCGAGTAGCTTTGATTACAGGTGTGAGCCACTGGTTTCAAGGATTTTTTTGGAGGGGACAGTCTTGGGGCTTGAACTCTGGGCTTGGGCACTGTCCCTGAACTTCTTTCACTCAAGGCTAGTGCTCTACCACTTGAGCCACAGCACCACTTCCAGTTTTCTGATGATTTATTGGAGCTAGGAGTCTCAGGGAGTTCCCTGACCCGGATGGCTTTGAATCACAATCTCAGATCTCAGCCTCCTGAGTAGCTAGGATTACAGCTGTGAGCCACCTGTGCCTGGCTCAGGAAGGCTTTTTAAACAAGCTCCGTCAGCATGGGCTTCTGGATGTTCCTGCTGAGGTATGACTCTGGGCCTGTGCCGGCCAGCGCTGCCTGTTTGCAGAGGGAAGATGTCCAGTCTCCAAAGTTGCTGTCCTGAGTGTTTCTTTGCCCTGGTGGTTAGGGAGATGAGGAGAGGAAGCAGCAACCTTGCCTGGAGCTGTGAAGACATTCTTGAACTCCCTCACGCAGGGGAATGGAGTGAGGGAGATAGGACAAGAAAGAAAATGAAAAACGCCTTTTTAAGACTGTGTACGTGAAAGCATGTAGTCAGTGAACGAGTTAGTCATTGGGCAACTCTACAGCGGTGCACATATTTAAGTGTCTGTTCCTGTTTCATGGGGAAATGTCTGCAAGGACAAGAGAAGGAAGAAGTAGGAATCTAGGAAAACCAGAGATGGAACACTCTTTGAAGCAAACAGGTTTTGTTACATATGATGGAAAGTCTTACCAGAAAGTGAGCCAAGTGCCTTACAAATAATGACTAATCTTTGAAATAATCTTATCAAGTAGATAGATTCTGTTATCATCTTTACTTCATACTTGGCAAAAACAAGACGTGAAATTTGCGCAAGGTCAGAAAGAGGGTGAATCGTGCTTTGAAATGTGATTCTAGATAGTTGGGTTCTAGAAAAGTCCAGGCGTTAGACTCGTTTTGCTATCTTTCCAGATAAACACATGCTCTGAACATGCCCTAAAAAGTTCCATCTCATAAAAAGGAAACTAGATTCCAGAAAAATTGAGTAATTTGGCCAATATCACACAACTCATAGACCATTGAGGCAGAATTTGAACCCAGATTCCTTCATTCCAAAACCTCTTTCTAGTAGATCTTACTGCTAATTATTTTTTCTCTGTATACATACAATTGAGTGCATAAAATTTAAATTTTACTTGTTTTACAGACATGAATCCCTAAGGAATTTATTAAATGCTAATAGAACCTGACTCGAAGCAAATGCCTAGATGTCTCAGTTTTCAGTGATAATATCAATTTAATCCAGGCCATCCATATATCAGATTGAAAATAAAGGTGCAGTAACACATTGGGGTCTAATTGGCTGCTGCTATTTTCAGGGTTTGATTCTCTAGACAGGCCATCAGAATATCTTATGATCACAGAGAATTAAAAAAAAAACCTACCAGTATAGAAAGCTATTTAAAAATCATTATTCCTTATTTATTATCTCTAAAACTAATAACTACCCCAGTAGGGGGTGATGGCTTAATGGGCTACAACTCTTATAGGTAGTTTTCTTTTCCCTCTTTCTTTTATTTTTTGAGATTTAAGGGAGGCAGCAGATACAAGAGTCAGATTTGAAGGTGATTTTTTGAAATCAACAAAGAATACCTGGGACTTTGCTGAAGGATAAAGGACTGTTAGGTAGTTTTGGTCACATAGAAAGTATTGTAATAGAGCGCCCCCTAATGGTGCTTTGAAGAAGCAATTTTGGAGCGATTAAGTATCACTTGTCTATAATCTCTTACCACCACCTTGTGGTAGTGCCTAACAATTTTAGCCTCTTATTGGCAAAAATCTTGCAGGATCTTGCATTAATCTATAAACACAGCAGGTCATGGGCTACCCTGGGTGATACCAAATAGATTTTACAAGTGTTTTAGTTATAATTCTGTAAAACATTTGGGTTGGGGGGCCATTACTAAAAACAAGGCCTTTGTAAAGAAAACTAATTTGCTTGCTTTCCCCCTTTTCTTTTCTCTCTCTTCCCCTTCTTTCTCTTTCTCCCCCCTCTCCCCACCCTCTCTCTTTCTTTCACTTAGTGCTGGTACCTGGGGGCTTGAACGTAGAGCCTCAAGCTCTTCCTTGGCTTTTCACTCACAGCTGGCTCTCTACTACTTGAGCCACACCTCCACTTCCCGCTTTTGCTGGTTAATTGGAGAGAAGAGTCTCAGGGGATCTTCCTGTACTTGCTAGCTTCTAACCAAGATGCTCAGATCTCAGCTTCCTGAGCTGCTAGAATTACAGATGTGAGCCTCAGCTCACAATAAATGAGGTGAAAGCATCCACTTTTTTTTTTACAGTGTAAACTACACACAATGTAAAGCTCCTCACATCGGCCTTTCTCGAATATATGGTGTCACTAGCACGTTCTCAATGTTGTCCAACCCCTTCCGCCACCCGCTTCCTTCCTTCTCCCATACACCAAATTAACAGGCAGTGCCCGTTCAGTGCTCATCTCTCTGACCTACCCTGATCATTTCTACTTCATAGAATTTGCTCCCCTTGTACATAGGAACACACAATATTTCTTCTTCTGTATCCGCCTTTTGTCACTTACCATAAATGTTTTCAAGATTCCTTTACGTTGCTGCCTGCATCATAGCACTAAGCAAAAGGGAAGAAATGTACATATCACCTGATGTGGAAGAAATAACTGTATTGTCAAAGATCAAAGAACTCACGATAAAGACAATTTGCCCCATGAAAGTTAGAATGTGTTTGTGACTTTAACCAAGTATCACTATCCCACAATACTGTGAAATTTGTGAAATTTATGAAATCACTTAATCACAATAAAAATTGCAAAAAAAATTAATAGTATTCCATGTGTATACCACATTGCATCCATTTATCAACACCCCCCCTCTTTTTTTTTTTTTTTTTAAATAGGGTCTCATTATATTGCCCAGGCTGGCATCTAACTCCCTATGCTCAAGCAACCCTCTGCCTCTGTCTCTTGAATAGCTGAACCTAGCTGCTTATCTGTTCATCTGTTCATTGACAGATATTTGGATTCTTTTCACCTTTTGATTGTGATGAAGAGTGCTGCTATGAACACTAATGAATACATATCTGGCTCCTGCCTTCATTCCCCTCACCCCTCCCCTGTATACTTGGAAGCAGAGTTCTAGGAATTGTGGTAATTCTACATTTTTGAGGAACGGGTATCTGGTGTCCCACAGTGGCCAACCACTTTATATTTCCACCAGCAGTGCTCACAGCTGACGTTTCTCCACATTTTCATGAATACTTATTATTTTCCATTTTTTTAGTAGCATCCTAGTGGGAATGGAGTCTACAGATTAACTTCTGAGTTTTTGAATTTGCAAATAATTATACCTAAAGTGAATTTAAGAAATGTTTTGAGCCCCTGGTCAAAAGTATTGGTATCCTGTAGAAGATAATAAATATAATAATAAATACATTGTTGGGTCCTTAAATGTTCTTATAATTTTCTTTTCTCCTGTGTTTCTAAATAAATAAAGATATCTTATAATTTTCTATGAGTAGTTGAGAAAAATTAACCCAGAGACTTTATGCCAAATTCGAGGAAAATTGGTGCAGAGATTAAATTGTTTGTTTAACTTATTCACCAAAGAATACCATCAATTTATAATGCTATAATTTTCATTAGAAAATTTCCAACTCAAATCTGTCTTCCTAGTTTAGTTTAGATAGAACCTGATAGGACTGTTGTAGTATTAATTCTTCCCTTGTGTTTTCAGAATTGAACTTGATAAATTTCTCTCAAAACTGAACAATTGGAACTGTCCTTGTTTGGGTTTTTGAGTGCTTTTGGAATTTTTCATTTCCATCTTTGGAATGAGCAAGTCAGGAAGTATTCTGTTAGGCAAGATCTCTAACGATTATTTTTTCCTTAATAGGACAGACTTGGAGGAATCCTGGTTCAAAACCACAATGTCTACTGCACAGCTCGCTCATGCACCCAGAACACACAAGACATCTAAGGTATTTGTTAAGAATTAAAGAAAATCAATGCCCATTTAGTGAGTTACTTTAGAAGCATGATTTTAATCTTTTTTCTTTTTAAAAAACAGCAGTCGTATCAGTTAATTGGCAGGTAATATTCTGGGAGAGTATGTCTACACGTTAACTGCCTAATGGACTGCAGAGGTCTAGAAAATTAAAAGGATTACAAAGTTACTCACTAGGAGCTTGTTTAATGTCTATATATCTTCTATAGTGCGGGAAATCAGAAACAAAATGATATTTAAAGAGAATGATTCTTTGTTAGACATCCACTTCCTGGATAATTCGGGAACTTTTAGGGCACATGGTGATATAATTATAGAATTAAGGAGAACATTGAGAGAAAAATGGCTGCTAGAAATCTGTGGACTGGGAAGGTGGCTCAGTGGTAGAGCGCTTGCCTTGCATGCATGAGGCCCTGGGTTCAATTCCTCAGCACCACATACGCAAAAAGAAAAAAGCCGGAAGTGGCGCTGTGGCTCAAGTGGTAGAGTGCTAGCCTTGAGCTGAAGAGCTGAGGGACAGCGCCCAGGCCCAGAGTTCAGGCCCCACGACCGGACCCAAGGAAAAAAAAAAAAAAACCTGGGGAGTTGGTTAGTCAGCTTACCATTGCTGTGAAAAAATAGCTGAGCTAATCAACTTAAAGAGAGGAGAGATTTATTTTGGTTCAAGGTTTTAGCCCGTGGTTGATGGATTGCATCATTTGGGGGCCTGTGGTGAGGCAAAGCATCTTGGTCAAGGAAACACCCCTTGAGCTGTCTCCTTCCCATCAGACCTCGCTTCCTGAAGTCCCACCTCCTCCCAGGGCAAGGGCCTTGGCAGTCACTGGAGAGCCTGACATCACAGGGAGGAGTCCATGGGGCAGCCTTGCTGGAGTCACTCTAGCCATTTTAATGAGTCCTAAGACACTCAGCAATGCAGTGCTTGTTTATTTATGACTATCCAGTAGTCTCCAGGACATTGTGTTGTTTCAGAAGAGAATACAATAGAAATGATCCTCAATTAAAAAAATGTGATTAGGGAAATAAGATTTTTTTTTTAAGCTGGTCATTGATGGCTTATGCCTCCAATTCTAGCTACTCAGGAGACTGAGATATTAGGATTGTACTTCAGAGCCAGCCTGGGCAGGAAAATCCATGAGACTCCCATGTCCAATTAACCACCAGAAAACCGGAAGTGGAGCTGTGGCTCAAGTAGGAGAAGGCTAGCCTTGAGCAAACAAAACCAAAGGGACAGCGTTCAGGCCCTGAATCCAAGCCTTATTACTGGCATATGTGCACACACGCATACATGCGCGTGCGCACACACACACAGGATTAATTGTAGTTAAGTCAACATACTGATATTTGCATATGTACAAATATGGCTGATAGGAGTTTTGGGAGTTTGTGAGTTTGTAGATGCAGGAATGGTTTGTACATTCCTCATGAAGGAGGTGAATATCAGGAGTAATGAAAAATAGAGTTTTGTGAGGAAAACTGTCTTGTCCCTCATAGTGGAAATGAGTGTGGCATGGTTTAGAGAATACCATGGAAGCCATCCTTCCTGGGTGGAGAGCTCATCTTGTTGAACAGAAAGTAGAATTAGATAGGAACTTTGGAAAGTAGATGAATACAGACCTTAAAGGCCTGTATGCTTTTCTTCTATAGTTAATGGAAAGTCAAAGGGCATGATCAGGAGAGTGAATAAGGTTTTAGGGTATTAAATTGTCTCAGAAGTAGACAGATTGAAGCAGGAAGGAGCAGCCATCTTTCTGGCTTGGTTTCAATGTTCTCACTGATCTCATTTGCTTTCCTAAATGCGCTGTCTTCCTGGGGGAAATGCTGAGTTGGGTGTATGAATCGCAATCAACCTGGCCATTCTCTTTCTCACAGTAAATTAACAAACTGACCTTTTAATACAACCAAATCTTCATTGTTTGGACTGCATAAACTACTTTCCCCAGTAAAATTTAAATGATAGTATAATTTTTGTTATTTAATAGTTAGAACAACACTAATCATTATAGAAGCCAACATTTATTCAGCCTGTGTCTGCGTGCCAGGCATGGTGCCAAGGGCTTTATGCTATTATTTCAATTAAACCTCTCCATATGGAAGAAAAGCAAAATAAGTTGCTCCAGGTCCTGGAGTGCTAGGATTACAGGCATGAATTACTGTGCCTGGCCTCCAAAAGCAATTAAACATTTTTACACATCCCCAAACATCACACATGCAAAAGTAGTAACGTTGTTATAGACTAGACTATAATATGATTTGGCAAAAAGGGCAATGCCATAATACATTGTCAGTATATACTACACTAAGAAAAGGTATTCTTACATAGAAAAACCATGTTTAGAACACTCAGAAAACATTCTACTGGAAATTCTTCTTCATCTAAAGGTTTTTTCGTAGACAGTCCCTACCTCTAAGTAACAGAACTATTAGAACTTGTACCTTTGAACCACGTAGCATAATAAAAGGAGACAGTTACTCGCCAGCTTACTTTTTTTAGTTTCTTTTGATGCCCATGCCACACTGTATGAGACTGGTTCTAAGGTCCTTCCAGTTCTGAACTACGGTGCAAAGTCTAAACAAAGAACTTAGATTTGCTTTACCCAGGTGATTGTTTCAGCTTTAGTCTGGGCAGGGGAAAGGTACCCCCTATGAACATTAGAAGAATTCCAATTAGATTGGTGTAGTCTTACTAGATTATTCTTGCCACTAAGTTTTGGAATTCTATAGAACCTAACCAAACACATTTTCTCATTTAGTGGTTTATTTGTTACAGAAGGTTGTAAGTATGACTTGATTTTCAAACAAATTTATCAGCTTTTGAGGACCAGATTTTGCAGCACATGTAAAATTCTTCTGATAGTCCTAAAGCTGTTTTTTTTAAACTCAAGCATTTAATTATTGAAGAGAATCTCTCTCTCTCTCTCTCTCTCTCTCTCTCTCTCTCTCTCTCTCTCTCTCTCCTCCTTTGGCGCTTACTGTCTGCTGGGTTGGTGATTCTATCTCTTTGATATCCAAATCTCTCCAGCTGGTCTGTAAATTCCATGAAAGTGCTGTCTTTATTTCACCTTAGGTTTGCTTTGATGTTTTGCAAATCACCATCATCACATTTGTTGGTAAACAAGTGAAACCATACAGGAAAATAAGGAACTGTTAAACCAGGCACTTGCTAAGCACTTCATAGACACTCACTCCTTTAATCCTCACAATAATTCGGTCATGTAGTCATCACTTTTAATGAAGTGTAATGGAAGCCCAGAGAGGTTAAGTAACTTATGCAAAATCTGGCGTTTGGCACTAGGTGTTACAAATAAAACTTTATTGGAACATGGCTGCACTGGAACTGCTTCAGTTATAATCTGTGACTTTTTTCATATTCTCTGGCAGAATTAATTGTAAAGCTTAAAATGTTTATATCTGGCCTGGTATTGAAAAGGTTCTTGACCTTTTCAGGATCATAGAACATGCTGAATAAGAATCTGGACTGTCTGGCTAGCTTTGGTGTATTTATTTTCTTGACCACACCACTATGCTGCTCCCTTACACCCGCCCACCCTCAGCCACCCGGAGAGGTGCTAAAGACGTCACAGGTTTCTCTCTGTACTTTCTTCCTTACAAACACAAACATGCACAGCCACCTGTCTCAGTCTGGGAACACACACACACACACACACACACACACACACACACACACGAGTTGATTCTAACTATTCAGAGTAGTCATGATCTAGTAAATGAGTGAGTATGAAGAGCTGTGTTTAGAAGAAATATGGGGCTAGGTTCCTGTGAGCTTCTGGTCAGAACATTGCATCAACCCATAATTCCATAACTGTTATTGTATCTGCTTCTGTTTAAATACATTTATTTATTCATTCATTTATTCATTTATTTATTTATTTATTTATTTTTGGGTCTGGTCATGGGGCCTGAATTCTGAGCCTGGGCACTGTCCCTCAGCTCTTCAGCTCAAGGCTAGCGCTCTACCACTTGAGCCACAGCGCCACTTCCGGCTTTTTTCTTGTTGCTTATATGGTGCTGAGGAATCAAACCCAGGGTCTCATGCATGCAAGGCAAGCGCTCTACCACTGAGCCACCTTCCGAGCCCTGTTTAAATACATTTAATGCAGACAGATGGTTCATTAACTGTGAACTCAAAGCCAACAGCACCGGAAGTGGTGTCTAAAGTAAAGTTCTCTAACAAGTGTATTTTCTCCCTAAGGTTTTTGAGAGCCTTCTCAAATGTAGGGGCACTGACAAGCCTGACTTAACTAAGTGTGCTTGAGGACTCTTTAAGTAGAAAAAGATACCAATGAGCACATAAAGCATAAAAAAAAAGCAAAAAACAAAAGAGCACGAGGCCCTGGCTAGACGAAGAAAAGGGCAGGTGAGATAGAGGGGCGGCTGGAATGAGGAGGCTGAGGTCTTGTTTAGGGCGCGTGCTGGAGACTGCGAGGGACCACGATGAAAACGCTGATTCGCAGCCAGCGAGGAGGAAAATTGATAAATGTGGCTATTGACTGTAATGCCTAACTGGGGTTTAGTTCCCAGTGAGCATATACCATCAAATCCTTCTTCAGTATTCAAAAATTTGCCTTTTTTCTTAACAGCAAATCATAACTGTGCTTTGGTGTATTTATTCTCTTGACCGCACCACCATGCTGCTCCCTTACACCTGCCCACCCTCAGCCACCCGGAGAGGTGCTAAAGACGTCACAGGTTTCTCTCTGTACTTTCTTCCTTACAAACACAAACATGCACAGCCACCTGTCTCAGTCTGGGAACACACGCACACGCACACGCACACACACACAGAGCATATTGTGGGGAGGGATGGAGAGAGAGAGTAGGTACAACTGGATCAGAAAAATAGTCTTTTATTTTCCCTGAGACCCGGTCTCACTATGTAGCCCACGTTGGTCTCAAACATGTCATCCTCCTGCCTCTGCCTCCTGAGTGCTGGGATTACAGACTCTGTCACCATGCCTGACTAGGAGGAATAACTCTTGCTTCTTTTTGTTGTAGTTGTTGTTGGCAGTACGAGGGCATGAACTCAAGGCGTGAATTCAGCTTTGATTGCTCATAGCTGGTTCTGTACCATTTGAGCCATAATTCTAGTCCGGCCTTTGGCTGATTATTTTGTCCTCTAAATTATTATTATTATTGTTGTTGTTGTTGGTCATGGGGCTTGAACGCTGGGCCTGGGTGCTATCCTCAGCTCTTCAGCTCAAAGTGAGTGCTCTACCACTTGAGCCACAGCACCACTTCCTGGCTGATTATTTTGGAGATGGAATCTCACAGGCTTTTCTGCCTAGCCTAACTCGTGTGTGTGTGTGTGTGTGTGTGTGTGTGTGTGTGTGTGTGTGTGTGTGTTTAATTTATTGGTTTTGACATTTTCTTTCTGGCTCTTTTTTATTTTTTTTTCAAATTCTTTATTGTGATTAAGTGGTTACATAATTTCCTAAATTTCACAGTATTGTGGGATAGTGATGCTTAGTTAAAGTCACAAACACATTCTAACTTTCATGGAACAAATTGTCTATCATGGTCTATAACATTTATGAGTTCTATGAGCTTTGCAGTACGGTTATTTCTTCCACATTGGGTGGTATGTACATTTCTTTTGTTTTGCATAGCATCAGCTGTTCCCTCTTTCCCACTTGTTCCCTCCCTCCCATCACTGCCATTGAGTTGCTTAGTTCATTTTGGTCAATGTCCAGTGCAGCTGACGGGTTCCACTGTTGTATGTTTTTCCCTGATTCCCTCTAGTTCTGTGTTGTCCTCCTGGTTTCCCTCTAGCGTGCACATATATACCATACATGCGATCAGCAGCATGGGGTTATTTAGTAGTGATTCGACCAGATGAGTGGGAGTCCTTTGTTTCTTAAGTCCTGTTAATTTTGTCGTATCACCCTTACATTTTGGATTTAACATCCACTTATCAGGGAGACCATGTGCCGTTTGTCTCTTTGCTCTTGGCTTACCTCGCTCGACATGATTTCTTCTAGCTCCATCCATTTCCCTGAAAATGCCTTTATTTTGTGCTTTCTAATGGCTGCATAATATTCCATTGTGTATAGATAGCACAGTTTTTGGATCCATTCATCTGTGGTGGGACAACTGGGTTGTTTCCATATCCTAGCTATTGAGAACAGTGCTGCAATAAACATGGAGGTGCACGTGTCCTTGTATATTGGTTCCTGTTGTTCAGGGTAGATGCCTAGAAGTGGTATGACTGGGTCATAAGGGAGGTCAATCTTTAGCTTTCTGAGGACCCTCCAGACTGCTTTCCAAAGTGGTTGTATAAGTGTACATTCCCACCAGCAGTGTAATAGGGTTCCTCTTTCTCCACATCCCCTCCAGCATTTGCCGTTGGCTGATTTGTGGATGTGGGCCATTCTGACTGGGGTAAGGTGGTATCTCAGGGTTGTCTTTATTTGCATTTCCTTCACCACCAGGGATGGTGAACATTTACTCATGTGTTTCTTTGCCATTTTTATCTCTTCTTCTGAGAAGTCTCTCTTTAGTTTGTTTGCCCATTTAGTAATTGGCTTGTTGGGTTTGGGAGGGAGTAGTTTTTTGAGTTCCCTGTATATCTGGATATTAACCCCTTGTCTGATATATTGCTGGTAAATATTTTTTTCCCAGTTAGTTGGTTGTCTTTCTAGCTTGGTTGCTATAGCTTTAGCTGTGCAGAAACTTTTTATTTTAAGGTAGTCCCATTTGTCGAGTCTCTCTCCAATTTGTTGTGACCCTGGGACTCTGTTCAGGAAGTTCCTGCCTGTGCCTATAAGTTCAAGTGTCTCTCCTACTTTGTCCTGAAGTAGTTTCAGAGATTCAGGTTTGATGTTAAGGTCTTTAATCCATTTTGAGTTGATGTTGGTGCATGGTGATAGGCTGGGGTCCACTTTTAGTTTTCTGCATGTGGCCGCCCAGTTTTCCCAGCACCAGTAGTTGAAGAAGCTGTGTTTCTTCCACTGTATGTCTTTGGCTCCTTTGTCAGCTGATTGTAGGCATGTGGTTTTATTTCGGGATCTTCTATTCCATTGGTCTTCGGGTCTGTTTTTGTGCCTTTCTGGCTCTTTTTAAACACCTCCATCCATCCCCTGGGCTAACCTTTGAATTTTGATCCTCCAATCTCAGTCTCCTGAGTAGCTAGGATTACATGTGTGAGTTCTTGACACCCTGAAAAACTTCTCATCTTCTTATACATAGTAGAGTAAGTATGGCTGGCAATAATTGGTTAGTCTAAATAGATATAGAGAGGATTATGATTGTCCCCCAAAGCAAAGAAATGGTATATATCTGCAGTGATAGGTCCATCACTCACTCTGATCTGATTGTAAAACATGTACATGTATTGAAATGTCACCCTCTTCCCCATTGGTATGTATAATTTACTATGTATTAATTAAAATCATAAAAAGGAAAAATACCCTACTAAACTTTGTAGATATAACTCTTCTTTCCTTTTCTCTGTGTGCCACTTACACTACACCTTTTTTGTTGTTGTTGTTGTCGTGGGACTTGAACTCTGGGGGGACTGTGGGCAGCGTCACCCTTGCAGCATCGAGTGACGGGAATAGGGGAAGTGATCTCTCCCAGAAGAGACCAGGGAAGCCTTGAGTCAGCGCGGCATTCTGTGTAAGCTCCATGGAGGAGAGGACTTTTATTCGCTATGCTCACTGCTGCATCTCAGAACCTAAAGCAGAATCTAAACTTAAATACATAGTTGAATTAAAATGGCCATATTTTGGAACTGAAAAGAAGAACATTTCTGGCCAAGAGGACTGCTTGAAGCAACATTTTCAAAACTTATTTGATAGGTCAATACTTACTTTTCACTGGTAGTATCTGTTTATAAAATGCATGCACGTGTACAACTAAATTAATTTTTACAGGTCAAACACATTCTTGTAAACCAGAAGCCAGATCAAGAAACAGTATAAAACTGATCATTCTCCCCTTAGAGACGACCTACTTTCAGTCTATTGAGGGTGTTTTCTGATAAACTTTACTATGGTTTCACTATAAAAAGAGAGAGAGAGAGAGAGAAAAAAATAGGAAAAAATCAACAAGGCCTCTCAGGTTCCCTAGTCACTATTCTGTTTCCTAAGTGAGAAAAAAAAGCACCATCCTGACTTCTAACAGCCCAGATTAGTATCTTGCTTGTATATTCTATATAAAGGAAAGCATAAGATACTATTTATTCATATCTGCTTTGTTCTGCTTAGTATTTGATGTGAGAGTCATCTGTATTGTTAAATGTAATTGCAATCATTCATTCTCATTGCTACCTAGTACTCCACTGGGGAAATATACCATAATTTCTTCATCTATTCTGTTGAGAAGCATTGGGTGGTTTCTAATTTGGAGCTATTATGATAATGTTGTTATGGGCAGTCTAATATCATTTAGGAAACACAGGAGAGATGAGACCACAGGGACTAGATTTTGTCCGTTTCCAATGCCACAGTTAGGGAGCTTGAACGCGGTGCTGTATTTACATTGGGAGTGCCATGGTAAGGTTCATATTTGTTGCAGTTGATCCTGATGATAGCATGGAAGACAGACGGAATGAAAAACGTTGCCTGGGCCCAGCGGCTGCTGGAGTGAGAAGGGGAACTTGGGAATGTCCTAAGCCCAGGAACAGCAGTGAAGGGAAAGAAGAAAGCAGATGTGAGATTCTGAGGGAGAACTGAGTGTGAGGGACAGAGAGAGGCTGGTGATGAAGCCATGTCTCGATGGATGCATGAGTGGGTGCTGATCTACTTGCTCCAGAATGAAACTTGGGGTCCTTTTAGCCAGGGGAGGTGGGGATGAACTGAGTTTAAGGGATCAGAAATTAGGAATGTTGAAGTGGGGCTCAGAGCAGAAGTAGGGGCTCGAAGTCCCCTGAATAGACTGTAGCTGAGGCTGGGAGAATAGATGAACTCATTGAAAAAGAGAGCCATGAATACAGAAAAATAGCCTGGCCATGGCAGCGCCCGCCTGTCATCCTGGCTACTCAGAAGACTGAGATCTAAGGCTCTCCAGTGAACTAGCAAAAAGCTAGAGGTGGAGGTGTGGCTCAAATGGTAGAGTGCTGGCCTTGAGTGAAAAAGCTAAGGGACAGCACTAAAGCCCTGAATTCAAGTCCCAGGAACTCCCCTCCACACACACAAAAGAGAGACTGAGTCAGGTGTGTGGGGTGGGTGAAGACAGTGGTGTGGAGCTGGGGTGGATGGACTCAGTGGTAGAAAGCAACAAACAACAAAACAGAAGTGTGTGGGACACTCAAGGGAGAAGGTCAGAGCGCACGCAGGCAGACGAGAGCTCTGCATTCATCAGGAAAGAACTACGATGGCCTAGGAGACTTTGGAGAGAGCAGGGTTGCCGGGAGAGGGTAACGGAAGGACGCTCTAGGGCAACACTTCAGGCTTGCCTCACATCTATGGGTCAGTGTGAAACAACTTGAATTACTTGGGTGATTGTCTCTGCCTTCTGCTCTGTCTTGACTATAAAGATCTAATTTCATGCAACTTCCAAAGCCCTGTTTTCCTTTTGATTACCTATGAATGTGTCATAGTTGAAGTCTTGACAAAGCTGCCATCCTTATGTGGTAATGGTGTGACTATATTAGAATACTAAGGCTTTTCACCTTTGTTTGTTTGTTTTTCTCTCCCTTCAGAAAACGGTTTTCCCAACCCAAATCACTAATGAGCAACAGTCCTTGATAATGGTGAAGAAACTCTTTGCTACTTCTATCTCCTGTATAACCTATCTAAGGGGCCTGTTTCCAGAGAGTTCTTATGGAGAGCGCCATTTGGACGGTAACATTTAATGAAATGGCCACCGTGGCTATTGTAACCTTCTCCTGAAATTAGCTGGAGTAAACTGGTATTTCTCGCAGACTGCTAATTCCAACTCATGGGCCTGTTTTTCAACATTTAATTGGCTAATCCATTTTCCATTTTAATTTCACTACGTTTAGTACTTGTACTTGTAGGAACCATTAGCTTCTTGCTAGATAGCAAATTAAAAAAATCAGTCTGAAGGGAAAAGCGTAGAAGCACAGAACAAAATCTGAATGCTGAAGATTTACACTATTTTGTGCCTCAACTAAATTTGTTCTTTGAGGATTGTTTTAACATTGGAGAACTTCAAAGGAACCACATGAGAAACTCCTCCTCCCTGGTAACACACACACATACCCACAGATATTAATGTGGCGAGGTGTGCAGTACAGGAATTTAGGCAACTATTATTCTAGTCCTGGTCTTTTCTCAATTCAGGCCCATTTTTACTTCTTTTGTTTCTTGTGCCTTTAAAGGTATCTTCTTATTGTATTATGTATGTAATAAGCGTTTCTGGCTTCTTTCTTCTCTTTGCATAAAAGAAAATGTGCCTGAAACTCTTCAGTTTTTCAAAATTGAAACAAATTTGCTTACAAGGGCAGAATGTAAATCTTGTTGACTTGTTACCAAAATGGAAATGTCATTTGGAAAATAAATAATATAGCTAGCCACAAGTTTCCATTTAAGTTGCTGTTTTTCAAAATCTAACATTGAATTTCTCACATTTGAATTCAGTGATTACCTTGGCCTCATTCCAATGTAATTTTCTTAAGCAATATTTGATTTTCATTGAGCATCAATGAAATATATTTGTGCTGTAAAAGCAGAAGCATGACACGTGAAATCACAACCACCTCATTTGTATTAATTATAACCTCTGCTGGTGTCTATGGGATACAAATCTATAATTGTGAATGTATTTTCAATTTCATGTGTCTACTTATGTGTATGATGCATCTTTTTTTTTTTTGGGTCCGGTCATGGGGCCTGAACTCTGGGCCTGGGCGCTGTCCCTCAGCTCTTCAGCTCAAGGCTAGCGCTCTACCACTTGAGCCCCAGCGCCACTTCTGGCTTTTTTCTTTTTGCTTATGTGGTGCTGAGGAATCGAACCCAGGGCCTCAGGCTTGCAAGGCAAGCGCTCTACCACTGAGCCACCTTCCCAGCCCTGTATGATGCATCTTGATCAGAGTCATTCCTTTCATCATTCTTTCCTCTCTCCTGCCTGGCTCCTCCCTACCACCTCAAGATTCCTAGCTCCATTTTCATGTACACACATTGAGTATTCTACACACACACACACACACGCCATTCTTCTCTCCCTCCTTTTAGCCCCTGCCCCATCAGCCAGCACACATTTATGATTTATGAATGTATTAATATGTGGCATATAGTTGCAGGTTGGTTGGAAGATAGAATCATAAAAGACAGGTCTTGGGAAATTAAGCGCATGTTGTAGGTGACTCACCATGCGAGGCCTGGGGGTAAAATCATTCCTTACAGTTTTCTTTTTGTGATGGTTACAGTGGAAGTTAATGTCTCACTCTCAATGTCTGTACTTAAAGTAACACACAGCACTTTCGTGTGACTTTCTTTCTGATAATCTCTTAATGTTATGCCTCTGTGGAAAAGTGTACATAATCCCTTGATAGAAGAATAGCTGTTATCAACTTTAGCAAAAGGAAATAATATGGCAAGACTCGTGCGAAGTCCACCATAAATCAGTGATTGATTTCACACTCATCTTCCTTTTTTCCCAAGTGTAGAACTGAATTGAATTTTGGTTGGAAATCTGTATTTGAAAATAATCCATGGAGGTGGGCGCTGGTGGCTCACGCCTGTAATCCTAGCTACTCAAGAGGCTGAGATCTGAGGCTCACGGTACGAAGCCAGCTGGGCAGGAAAGTCCATGAGACTCTTATCTCCAATAAACCACCAAAAAAAAAAAAAAAAAAGCTGGAAGTGGTGCTGTAGCTCAAGTGATAGGAGCATTAGCCTTAAGCAAAAGAACCTCAGGAACAGCACCCAGGTCTTGAGTTTAAACCTTAGGACTGCACCAAAAAAATAAAAATGAAAATAAATCCATGGAAAAAAATTCTCATTGATAAAGAACTAACAGAGGGCTGGGGATGTGGTTTTGTGAGTACTTGCCTAGTGTGCATAAGGCCCTGGGTTCAATTCCTCAGTACTACATAAGCAAAAAAAAAAAGCAGAGAAAGGAGATTGAAGTGTGAGCTTTCAGTGGATCAGGAATGGTGGTCTTCACTGGAAGAAAAGCAAAACAAATTGATTCTGCTGCCTTGTAAAAGGGGAGATGCTAAACTGTCAAGACAATGATAATCATCAAAATGGGACTTTAAAAAGTAGGTACCTAGGGATTCAAAGCATCTCTAGACGCCATAAAACTTAAATAAGTTGCATACGTACAGTAATTATAGGAAATGTTCTATATGGTATGGACATTGTCAATATAGCAGTCATTTAGGAGATAAAAATAGATTACTTCTATTTTTGTAGATCTAAATTTAAAAATTCTTCGGGAAGACAAAAAATGTCCTGGGTCACTGCATATTATCAAATGGTAAGTAATTTAAATTCCACAAAAAATAAGTTCCATAAAAGTTGTATTTTATTTTAGCATGGCTGAAATTACCCATAAGACTTGTATTTTGTGAGATCATTTATTTAAAACCATTTCCTCCTTATTATCTTTCTTTTTAAAAAATAATTTCCTACAAAATTACAGCTCTCACTATTATTTTAAGATTCAGTTTTTTAGTTTTGATTTTAAAAGAAAATGGTTTGTCTAAGGAAGGCAATCAAAATTTGTTTGTTCATCATCTGAATGTCAGTGAACTAAACATTTTGATAGCCAAAAGTGAAACAGATTGCCTATTATTTATAAAGTTCTATGAATATATTAATATCACTGAGCGAGTAGCTGGTGGCCCACACCTGCAATCTTAGCTACTTAGTAGGTTGAGCTCTGAGAATCACAGTTCAAAGCCGGCTCAGGCAGAAGAGTCCCAGGAGACTCTTATCTACAATTAACCACTCAAAAACCAGAAGTGGAGCTGTGACTCAATTGGTAGAGCACTAGCCTTCAGCACAAAGAGGCTGAGGGAAAGTGCCCAGGCCTGAGTTCAAGCCCCACAACTGACAAAAATAAAAAATAACTGGGTGCTCATGCCTATAATCCTAGCCACTCAGGAGCCTGAGCTCTGAGGATTGCAGTTCAAAGCCAGCCTGGGTAAGAAAGTCCGTGAGACTCTTATCTTGAATTAACCACCAGAAAACCGGAAGTGGCACTGTGGCTCAAGTGGTAGAACCCTAGCCTTGAGCTGAAAAGCTCAGAGACAAAGCTCAGACCCAGTAATTCAAGCCCCATGACCAATAAAAATAAATAATAATATCACTGGCAGTTCTAAAATGTAATTGTTAGTTGGGTGCCAGTGGCTCACACCTATAATCCCAGCTACTCAGGAGGCTGAGGTCTGAGGATCACAGTTTCAAGCCAGTACTGGCAGGAAAGTTTGTGAGACTCATAGCTCCAATTAACCACCAAAAAGCTGGAAGTGGAGCTCTGGCTCAAGTGGTAGAGCACCAGCCTTGAGTTAAAAAGCTAAGGAATAGCACCCAGGCCCTGAGCTCAAGGCCCATATACACACACACACACACACACACACACACACACACACACACACACACACACACACACACACACACACACACACACACACACACACACACACAGAGTGAGAAAGGCAAAACAGTCATCAGTTTAATATACCTTAAACAAAAGATGTAAACTCATCTTGTACGTTAACTTTTTTTTCTTGCCTTGGTATGTGGTCCAAATTGACATTTATTTATTTATTTACTTATTTATTTTTGGCAGGATTCAAGGTTGTTTTGATGCTTTGGAAAAGAAATACGTAAGATTTTTTTTTTAATTTATAAGATGCATCCCTTACCCTTTAACAAAGGAGTTTAGTTTTGGATGTGCACAGTGAGCCATTGTCTCCATTTCCATTCAAAAATAATTTCCCTTACCTTGTCCCACTGAAATCTCTTACACCAATCACAGAGGAAATCCCCTTTCTTCTTGTACATACTCATATCTTTTTGATCACAGAATTTCCTCTGAAGACACTAGAAAAACTCTGCAGGATGTGGGACAGGGAGACAAGAATCTGGCATTTGGCACATTGAACATGTTCAAAGTGGGTGACTCTGTCTGTAGATATGAAAAGGAGCAGGCTTGGGGCTGGGAAGGTGGCTTAGTGGTAGAGCGCTTGCCTTGCATGTGGGTTCGATTCCTCAGCACCACATAAGCAAAATGAAAAAAGCCGGAAGTGGCGCTGTGGCTCAAGTGGTAGAGCACTAGCCTTGAGCTGAAGAGCTGAGGGACAGCGCCCAGGCCCCATGACCAGACCCCCCCCCCAAAAAAAAAAAATAAAAAGAAAAGAAAAGAAAAGGAGCAGACTTGAAGAAAGCATTTTCCTTTATCTTGGTTATTTTGGTAACTATGTTTGGTGAATGGGTAGAACCTGTTGTCTAAAAACAGGTACTGTTATAGCTCTGAGTTTTTTAAAAACACAGATTAACTTTTAAATGCATCTGATATTTCCTGAATCCCTGGACAGCTAAGAAGAGTGTGAAAAAAATGGAGGATCTAGTTTGAGTGGAAGCGATAAGATGAATATAAATGAAAGGTCCATCATTGCTTCTCCCCTTTTCTGTTTGTGCCTTCCTTTTTCCCCCAACTGACTATTTCTTTAAGGGACCATATGTTCCCTCTCTTCACTTATGTATGACTTATGCAACACTGATTCAGGGATTGAGGAACACAAAGATAAAAGAAATGAAGGCAGGAGATTGTAGACCATGGTGGAGGATTGGTGATCCGAGGTTATGTGCCAGTCCAGCTGTATCTACTGATACGATACAGTGGCACTTCTGTGTTTATGGCAAATAGCTGCTTAAAAAAGAAACATCTTGGCCTGGGGAAGGGCCTCAGTGGTAGAGCGCTTGCCTAGCATGCATGAAGCCCTGGGTTCAATTCCTCAGTACCACATACACAGAAAAAGCTAGAAGTGGTGCTGTGGCTCAAGTGGTAGAATGCTAGCCTTGAGCACAGAGAGGCTCAGGGACAATGCCAGGTCCTGAGTTCAAGCCCCAGGACTAGGCAAAAAAAGAAAGAAAAGAAAAAGAAACAGCTGCTCTTTTGCGGCCCTAAAAGTCCTGCTTTTTGGAGTACCCACAAGTGTCTCTTCTCAGATCTTCCTAGACTGCTCCAAAATCCAGCAACTAAAAGCTAGCACTAAAGGTTAGCACCTAGTCTGAGTTGCTTCCAAGTAAAGTTCAGAGTCCTTCACACGATCTTTCCAGAGCATTGCTTCCCGCTGCCCCCCCCCCCCCCCCCCCCGCCGGTCAAGCCACATAAAGATTCTAGAACATGCCAAATTCCTCTTGTCTTTGTACATATCCATACACATTGCCTATCTCACTGTACTGTATCTTTCCAGTCCCCTCTTAAATAGGATTTACGTCTTCTGGGAGCATTTTCCTGACCCTCAGCCTAGATTGTCCTTCTGCTAGAGTGGGTAGTCAGCAGCTCTGAAGTGCTGTTTCATTATAATGGTTATCTTACCTGGATTATTTCCTACTTAACACTGCCCTGCTAGACTTTTTTCCTCTGGACATTAGGGGATGAGTCCTCCTCCTCCCCCAATCTCTATCCTCCTCCTCCTCCTCCTCTTCCTCTCCTCCTCCTCCTCTTCCACCTCTTGCTGCTCTTCCTCCACCTCTTTCTGCTCTTCCTCTTCCTCTTCATTTTCATCATCTTCCTCTTCTTGGTCTTTGTCTTCTTTTTACATTTTTGAATAAACTATTAATAAAGTTTCATTGTCATCAAATCTCAGTGACTTGCAGTAACAAAAGTATCCACACAGTGTCACCAGAGTTCTAATTCCTGTCCTATGATATGTTCTGATTTGTTTTAAATTTATTTTGATTATATTTATTTATTATTCTTAAAAGTCCAATAGAATCCTTTTATAATATATATACACATACATACAGAGTATACAGAGGCAAGAATTTTTATAAGACATAGCAGGAATTTTAGATTTTTACTTTAGACCATTAAACTCAAAAGGGGCATTTTTTTTTTTTTTTACTGGAACAATGTACTCTTTTTTTTTTTTTTTTAATTTTGTTTTTGGGTCCGGTCGTGGGGCCTGAACTCTGGGCCTGGGCGCTGTCCCTCAGCTCTTCAGCTCAAGGCTAGTGCTCTACCACTTGAGCCACAGCGCCACTTCCGGCTTTTTTCTTTTTGCTTATGTGGTGCTGAGGAATCGAACCCAGGGCCTCAGGCATGCAAGGCAAGCGCTCTACCACTGAGCCATCTTCCCAGCCCTGGAACAATGTACTCTTTTTAATTTTTTTTATTGTGATTAAGTAGTTTCATAATTTCCCAAATGTCACAGTATTGTGGGATAGTGATGCTCAGTTAAAGTCACAAACACATTCTAACTTTCATGGAACAATTTGTCTATCATTTATGAGTTCTATGAGCTTTGCAATACAGTTATTTCTTCCACATTGGGTGGTATGCACATTTCTTTTGTTTTGCATAGCATCAGCTCTTCCCTCTTTCCCACTTGTTCCCTCCTTCCCATCGCTGCCATTGAGTTGCTTAGTTCATTTTGATCAATGTCCAGTGCAGCTGATGGGTCCCGCTGTTGTATGTTTCTCCCTGATTCCCTCTAGTTCTGTGTCGTCCTCCTGGTTTCCCTCTGGTTTGCACATATATACCATACATGTGATCAGCAGCATGGGGGTTATTTAGTAGTGATTCAGCCAGATGAGTGGAAGTCCTCTGTTAATTTTGTCGTATCACCTAACATTTGGATTTAACATTCACTTATCAGGGAGACCATGTACCGATTGTCTCTTTGCTCCTGGCTTACATCACTCAACATGATTTCTTCTAGCTCCATCCATTTCCCTTCAAATGACATTATTTTGTCATTTCTAATGGCTGCATAATATTCCATTGTGTATGGATACCACAATTTTTGTATCCATTCATAAAAGGGGCGTTTTTGAGAGATATTCTGAGGTGTATTTAATTTTGAGCAATAATGAAGTATCTTGAATATATTTTGCCTCCCAAATTAGAATATAACTTTTTGTATTCCTCTTCTTTTTTTTTTTGTATCTATACCAGCAGAGCCCAGTGTAGATAATAGGCATTATTTAAATACCTCTTTTTTTTCTACCCAAATATTTGAAAGCCCTCTGAAACAATAATTTGATTGTCTTTCATTAAGAAAAAAACCCACATGGGTGTGAGCATACAATAATAATGGTTTTCTTTTCTCTTGAAGCTGCACATGGCTGTACTTACAGTAAGTATGCACTGGAGGTAAGCCTCTTCCCTACTCCGCAGCTGCAGCAGAGGGGGCTGTCACGCCACATCTCCCCCATGGCCAGCCTGTCTTCCCTGTCTGTCTTGTGAGGTTTGGAGTGTAAAGGCTAGGATCTATCAGAAACCTTAGTAAGATACTATAAAGTATATCTTTCTTTAGTATAACACATGGTAATGTATATGTATATACTGTCTGCTTTACTACCAGCTCTTGTGGTTTTAGTATTTTGTTCACTTTTTACTTTGTTAGTTCAAAGCTTTTAAAAAAGATTTCTTTCATTGTTATTATAAAGGTGATGTACAAAGGGGTTACAATTACATAAGTCAGGTAAAGAATTCATTTCCTTCCTTCCTTCCTTCCTTCCTTCCTTTCTTCCTAGAAGGGAGTTCTAAGCAAGTTTATTAAATGTGGGGCTTGAACTCTAAGCTCATGGCTAGTGCTCTACCACTTTGAGCCACAGGGCCACTTCTGGTTTTCTGGTGGTAAATTGGAGGTAAGAGTCCTATGGACTTTACTGCTTGGGTTGGCTTTGAACCATAATCCTTAGATTGCAGCCTCCTGAGTAGTTAGAATTACAGGAGTACATTTCTTTTTGGACAATGTTACCCTGTCCCTCACACTCTCTGTTTTTCCCTTTTCTTTTTTTAAGTTATGTAGACTTAAAATTTTATATATCCAGAGATATAACATGATCTATTTAGCTAGGAATTGAAAGGATATTGAGATGCTACCATGAATAATCTTAGATTATTTGAACAATTTAAACCATAATAGATGCCACCAGCACCTAATAAATACCTTACATTTCTTACAAGGAATTCTCTTCATTGTTAAGAGAATAGCAAAATAAGAGCTCATCCTGTTGGTTGTTGGTGGCTCACACCTGTAATCCTAGCTACTCAGGAGGCTGAGATCTGAGGATCATGGTTCAAAGCCAGCCTGGGCAGGAAAGTCCATGAGACTCTTATCTCCAATAAACCACTAGAAAACTGGAAGTTGCGCTGTGGCTCAAGTGGTAGAGCGCTCACCTTGAGCTGAAGAGCTCAGGGACAGCGCCCAGACCCAGAGTTCAAGCCCCACAGCCGACCAAAAAAAAAAAAAGAAAGAAAGAAAAAAGAGCTCATCCTATCTCTAGCTCGTAATATGTCAATACAGCACTCAATTAATGGAGTACAAAATGAACGCTCTGCAGGGAAAGCAAAGTCCATAAGGGGAAATCTAATAAATGTCAGAATTTAAATGCTTTTTATTTTTCTTTTAACAGCTTTACACAAATCCCAAGGAACCTGAGGTAAGAAGATACATATGTAAATGGGTGGGAATGTATATTTTAGTATGTTTACCTGAGTTGAGGCTGTAGTTTATATACTTAGAACAGAATAATACATAGTAAGCTCTTCTGGGATCGATCCTTTATTATGAGAAATTTAAAGCTGTCTAGGGATATTAGGGGAAAAAATGAGTAGAAATGGGCCTGTTTCTTGACGTGTTAACATTGAGATAATTCTCTTAATGTGTAAATGTCTAAACGCCTCCTTTTATTATTTATTTTAATTGATTTCTTGATCTGCTTATGGAATTTTGGAAAAATTAATGAGATGTGTCATAATTCTAATTTTTTTTTGCCAACTAAATCCCCCCCTTGTTTTGTAGCCTCCCCTCCCCCCCCCCCCAGCATTTTATCTCCTTACTTCTCTTTCTAGATCTCTCCCCCTGGCTTAGTCCGCCCTCCTCATCCTCAAGGCCATCTTACATCCAAATCTTTGATGGAAACATCTTTGGCTGGTGGGTGGACACCATCTTTTTCCTTCTTTAACTTCCCTCTTCAGCAGAGGCCTGGACTTCAACATTCTCCATTGAGTCATGCGGGGGACTTCTCGGCAGATTGGGAGTGGGCTACTGGGGTGGATGGTAAGGTCTTGGGTACACAGTTGTCACACTGGTGTGGAACTGTCTCCGTGGGGGCCAGAAGTGGAGAGGGAGAAGCTCTTTGTTTTCTTTGTCTTCCTCTTGCCTTTCTCTCAGTTTGTTCTTCTCTAAGCCACTAGATTTAGTCTACCTGGTGGTATTGGAGACTGGGTTAAGTGTTTTTAGCTGCTCATATTCTCTTGCGAAGTTACACAGGGCTGTGTGAGCCGGAGGAGGAGACGCAGGCAGGTGGCCGGTCTCCACTTGCACCTGTGTCCACCTTTGTGCCTTCTTTGCTTCCAGAATGCACCTTGCTGCAGTGCTAGCCTTGCTTTCTTATGCATGTAAAACACCTAGTTTCAAACCAGCTGTTTTTAGGATAATGAAATGCTGAGCAACTTGGGCTGAGCTACAGAAAAATTTTAGAGTGGAAAGAAAACTAATGTGGTTAGGAAATGAAGCCTTGTCATATAGATCAATTCTGAGCTATCATTTGACATTATTTTGAACACTTACAGATGTTCATTGTAGTAGTGATCCCGTAACCACTAGATATTCGTGGCATACATTTGCTTACCAAAAAAGTTGGTGGTGCTAGGTGCCAGTGACTCATGCCTGTAGTCCTATCTACTTAGGAGGCTGAGAAGAGGAGGTTTAAGGCTTGAGGCCAGCCAGGGAAGAAGATTTTGTGAGACCCCCTTCTCAACTCATTGCTGGGTACAGTTGTACACATCTGTCTTCATCAACCTACATGGGAGGCTGTGATTTAGAGGGTTGTGGTTCCAAGACAGTCTGGGCAGAAAAAACTCCAAGAGACTCCACAGAGGGAAGCTGGATAGATATGGTAGCATCCATTTATGATCCCAGCCACCAAGGGAGGCCTAAAAGTGGGAACTCTGAGACTCAGGCATGCCCATAGGTTAGCAGCCAGACTCTATTTGTAAAATAATCAGTTAAAAAACAGGGCTTTAGGTGTGGCTCGGCCTAGCAATTGGAAGGCCCCGTTCGGATTTGAATAAAACCTGAAAAAAAAAAAAGTGGCACGTTTGAGGGTATTCAATAACTTAAAGCAGAGTCAGCAAAAATTCCAGTATTGCTACTACGATAGCCTAGCAAGATCGACAGTGCGTCAAAGCATCCGGACGCGACACAGCTGCCATTCATCACTAAGACACTGGCGCAACTGCCCGCTCTCAATCGCATTCTCGCGTGTACTCACACTCAGAACAGTGTTCTCACACACGGTCCTCAGCATGGTCTGAGACTGTGCCAAACACTTGAGTCGTAGCCCTAGATGTACATCCTGCCCTAAACAAATTTGCACAAACAATAACAATGACAATATGTAGCTGAAGCAAAAATATATTTGGAGACAAGAGACAGAGGCTCACACCTTTAATCCTAGCTACTCAGGAGGCTGAGATCTGAGGATTGTGGTTTGAAGCCAATTTTCACAGGAAAGTTTTGAATCTCCATTAACCAGCAAAAAGCTAGAAGTGGTAGAGCACCAGCCTTGTGTGAGAAAGCTAAGGGACAATGCTCAGTCCCTGAGATCAAGCCCTAGTACTAGCACAAAACATTATATATGTATGTATGTATATGAATATATGTATGATATATGGTACACGGATTAAAAGTTAATATTTGCAGCACCCTTGTGAAGAGTACAGTTAAGAGCCTCTGGCTTAAATCACAGGTCAGAGGCCAATAGAGTTGGGGCACTGCTTCTATTCCTTTGTTGTGGTCCTTTTATACCTGACAGTTTGCTCTAATGGTCCCATGTCTTGAAAGAGATGAGCTGCTGAAAGCAGTCAGCCTAGAGCAGAGTGCTGATGAGCTTTACAAAGCTCACTGGCTTTGCTGCCACCGCTTTCTACGATGCTTCTGTGGGGCAGGCCACACTAACAAGGTAGATAGTGATTAAAGAGACACGGAAACCAATGTAAATGCATTCTAGAGAGCCTTGGCTTGGGACAGACAGATTCGGGAACATCCCAAGGACACAAATGTTCTATGTTTCCATCTGTTCCTCTGCGCCTGTTGGAGGTGCTCAGTGCCCACTTGTAACAGCAAGCTTCATCCTTGCAGGATGAAATCCTAATTAGCCGAACATTTATTCATTCAGTAAGTATGTGCTGAGCATTGTCCAAAGTATAAAGTACAGACTATCTGGGGGCAGACAAGGTCCCTGCCCTCTAGAAGCTTTCATTCTTTTTTTTTTTTTTTTTTTTTTTTGGGTCCAGTCATGAGGCCTGAACTCTGGGCCTAGGCGCTGTCCCTCAGCTCTTCAGCTCAAGGCTAGTGCTCTACCACTCGAGCCACAGTGCCACTTCTGGCTTTCTTTTTCTTTTTGCTTATGTGGTGCTGAGGAATCGAACCCAGGGCCTCATGCATGCAAGGCAAGTGCTCTACCACTGAGCCACTTTCCCAGCCCATAGAAGCTTTCATTCTTATACAGGAAGGATAAACAGTAAACAAGTGAACAAAAATGAGCAGAAGTAATTTCAAATAGTCCTAATGCTTTGAAGGGAAAGCCGGTGTGCTGGGCAGGGCTGAGGTAAACAGTAAGAAAAAGGACTGGGGGCTGTGTTGGATCGGTGGTCCACAGGCAGCCTCGCTCTGGGGCCTGGGCTGGAGCTGACACTGAGTCGGTGAGGGGAGCAGTGTGCCACAGGCAGGCGAGCATCATAGTTACCGTGCTGCGAGCCGGCTCAGCAGTGAGGAGAGTAGCAATCTCTACTTCACAGAGCTGGCGATTGAATGGATTCATGGACAATTATGCCAATGCCTGAATATTATTATCAACTGGAGAGAGCACATTCCAAAGTATAGCTCTACAGAGTTCCAAAACAGGAAGGAAAAGTGGGTGTCTGTGTACAGAAAGGGTGCCATGTGCCAGGAGCCTGGCGCTTCATGAGTGAGAGGGAGGAAGCGTGGCAGGGGAGGTAGGCGGGGCATAGATGGCAGGGGAGGGGGGAGGTAGGCAGGAGATAGGTGGCAGGGGAGGGGGGAGGTAGGCAGGGTGTAGGTGGGTGCCACGGTAGGTGGATTTTAGGCTGAGGGCAGAGGAAGCCACTGAGGGGGGCAGGTTAGGAAAGGAATGGCTGCTTAGTATTTTCTTCCTTTCTTTTTTGGCAGTGCTGAGGATTGAACTTCAGTCTTCACACTTGCAAAACAAGTGAGCACACCTCAGCCCTTTCTGCTTTAGTTATTTGCTGATGAGGTCTCTTGCATTTCGCCTTTTTGTCTTGGAACCTATGTCTCCCAGTAGCTGGGATTACAGGTGTTAGCCACAGCCTCTAGCCCTGATTTCTATTCTCAAAAACTCTTTTTTTTTTTTGCTACAGAATAGAAAATAGTTGTCAGTGGATTTGTGTCACTTGGAGTCTTACTAATAGACTGGAATGTGGAGGGAGAAACAGGCTGTGTGTGTTGTGTTGGGAGAAACCATTGAGAAGTTGGAAGGTTCATGATTGTTAGGTGATCCTCCTGAAAGAGAGAGATCTTGTGAGTGAGGTATAAGGAAGACACTATACCCTTATAGATGTTTCTTTCTTCATAAGGCAGTCAGTCTGAAGTTGTGAAGGATTAAGACTGTAAAACAAATATAACTCGTTAATTAGTTGCTTCAGCAACCAAATAATAAAATGCAACTATCAACTGCTAAGAGATCTCTTTCCTTTAAAAAGTAAATGTTCGCAACATCAAGAAGCTAAAGTTGCCAGGTGCCCGAGGCTCACGCCTGTAATCCTAGCTACTCAGGAGGCTGAGATCTGAGGAGGGCAGTTCAACGCCAGCCTGGGCAGGAAAGTCCGTGAGACTCTTATCTTTATTTAACCACCAAAAATCTTGAAGTGGAGCTGTGATAGAGCACTAACTTTCAGCAAAATGCTCAGGGACAGCAGTACCCAGGACCTAACACACACACAGACAGACACACACACACAAGCACACACACACACACACGCACACAAGCACACACACACACACACACACACACACAAGCACACACACACACGCACACACACACACACGCACACACCAGCACACAGTCCGTCAGAGTCCGAGTCCGAGTCCGAGGTGGCTTAGAAGCATGGACCGGCAGGGAAGAATGGGCGTTGTTTGCTTGACAGGGCAGTTACAATCAGCACTGTTGGAGAGAGGACACTGTGTATCTGGCCTTCTGCCCCTGTGGGCAGCTCCAATCTCATCCATCTCTCCTATTGTGTTCACACAGCAGCCTTCTGAACTTCCCTTGATTTTTCAGATGGATTGTCCAGCTGCAAAACATCTTAGACTTAAGCAGTATGAACCCTTATTTCCAGGACCTGATCGCTGATGATTAAGTTGCAAGTTAAGGCATAAGGTCAGTTGAGCTGGGCCAGTGCAGATGTTAAAGGCTCAGAGACTCTGATCAACCTCCTCATCCCAGGCTGCCAAGGATCAGTACTGAGCCAGTACTCCCAGTTGTTAGCTGCGTCCGCTGACAGTCACTTTATCTAACGGGTATTTGTCTCTCACAAGGCAGCGTGTCCCTCTGTATTCCCAGCCCTCTAACAACAGGAAAGCACGTGGCTGTGGCAGTGAGTGGAAACAAGACAGGCAGCCTTAGATCCTAGATCTTTCTCCAATTCTTCCAGCTTCCCAGGTGCCATTCTCAATGAAGTGCCCCTCAGCTGCTCTCAAGGTTCCAGACTTCCCCTCAACTCCAAAGTAGCCATGAGGAGCTTTTAAAGTGTAAACCACTCTCTTGCGTAAACCCTTAATAGACTTTTGGTTGATTTAGAATAAAATCCCAACCCTCATCAGGGCTAATAGGCCTTATAACTCCCTCTACCACCTCATCTCCTGTATTCTTCCTTGGCGCTCTTAACTCCAGCCTCTTGGTCTTCTCTCAGATCCTGGAAGAGTCTCTTCTACCACAAAGCCTCAGCCTGGCTGGTCAGATGCCTGGGGCACCAGACCCCAGGTCCACTCTTGATTGACCCCTCAGGAGACTCTGCCCCTCCAAACCCAATCCAAGCTCTCCTCCTTGTATTCTTTTAGACAGTGCATTTCTTAGTGGCCACCGCACTGAAATGCTCTTAACACCAGTGTTTGTTTATCTGTTTCCTGTCTCCTTGACCAGACTAGAGAGTCCAGAGAAACAGAGGCCTTTTCTGTCTTGTTCCTCCCCTGGGACTCCAGTGCCTGGAATAACATAGACATGCAATACAACAAATGTTATAGGAATAAATGATTTTACTGAGTCTACTACTATTTATATAGCAGATACCGACTCTGTTCTTTTTTGGTTTTAGTGAAAATGGTAGTATTCTCTATTTTAGCATAGAGAAGAGAAACTAAGTTATCTTTATACCTAGAAATATTACTCTTGAATAATTGAATGATATGATGCAAGAAGGCACGCAGCAAGTATGTTCCTGTTATAGGCAAAATTCTGGATTTCTTCTTAAAGTTAATTTCTTTCACTATTCTCTTTGTTGTTGTTTTTTTTCCTAGAAAGTGACTGAAATATATCAGTTCAAATTCAAATACACAAAATACGGAGCCACTATGGATTTTGACAGGTAGAACTTAATTGATGGACATAATAAATATATGAGTAAGATAAACATAAGTTTTAGTAGTCTAGGGAAAAGTTGTTTATTAGAAGCAGTACAAAACCCATTGTAAAAGTAGAATGTAGCTGGGTACCAGTGGCCTACACCTGTAATCCTAGGTACTCAGGAGGCTGAGATCTGAGGATCATGGTTGGAAACCAGCCAGGGCAGGAAAGTCTATGAGAATCTTATCTTTAATTAAGCACCCCAACAACAACAACAACAGCAGCAACAAAAAAGAAGTAGAGCCATGGCTCAAGTGGTAGAGGATTAACTATGAACACAAAAGCACAGGGACAGCATTCCCTCCAGACCCTGAGTTCAAGCCTCAGGACAAGCACACATTTTTTTTTTTTTAAAGTGGATTGTTAGTGTTTGGAAATGCTGGAACTGTGGTTGTAGTGGTAGAGTGCTAGCCTTGAGCAAAACAGCTTAGGGACAGCGCGTAGGCCTGGAGTTCAAGCTCTAGTACTGTCAAAACAAACAAAAAAAGCAAACTTCCAAGTTTGAGATTTACTTATGACAAAGACAACAGTGAGCATGTGTGGCGTTTTGTGATGGGGCATTGATTCCTTTGGCACTAGATTTTGGCTTCAGGACAGCCCAGAAGGCACAGAGAGCTAAGCACTGCTGATGAGATGGACGAGAAGAGGGAGGGGAAGAAACGAGCGTGAACAGCACTGGACAGTGGGGCCCTGCAAGGGGACGCGGATGTCCCCAAGGCCAGGACACGAGAAACATGGCGGGATGTTTCCTTTCCCTTTCTCAGCTCCAGGGAGCTCAAGGAATTCTTTCCAGGACTCATTTCCTCATTATCCTTGTAACACATACAGACAGCCCATGGACATGAGGAGGAAATTCCAGAAATGAGAGTTAAAATATTAGCCCTCATTAGTTAACATTTGTATCATACTTTTCAGACCATACAGCACATTTTGCATGTCTTCTTGTATTAAAATAATTGTCTTTCCTCCAGAAAACTCAGATGTAGGTACTACTGACAGCTAGATTAACTCTTCTTTTAAAGGCATATGTGCCAGGAGGTAAGCAATACAACAAATGGCCAAATCTTTCAGATACTAAGGAGGTGAGAAGGTAATGCACATTACATGTCTTAGAAACAAAAGACAGGCATGGTTTAGCTGGGAGTCTTGAACATGACCTTTCAGGTACATCCTGGAGGCCATGATTGCCATGGTGATTGTTCACCTCCCTTACAATCTTCTATTCTATGCTCCTTCCTCTAGTCCCTAACTTGTGTGCCACCTCTTCCAGGAAGCCTTCCCTATCATCTCTACCCTCGACCCCATTTATGAATTGACACCACCTACATAGAGTAGTTAGGGACCAAGGACTCTGGGGTCGGGGGCAGAGATGATAGGGAAGGCTTCCTGGAAGAGGTGGCACACAAGTTAGGGACTAGAGGAAGGAGCATAGAATAGAAGATTGTAAGGGAAGTGAGCAGCATATGCGAAACCACAGGGCTGAGAGGAAATTGGGTAATAGCTGTGGGTGAGGGTGGAGGTGAAGGTAGAGGTGAGGGTGTGGCTGGACCTGAAAAGCATTGTACAGGTACTATCCTTCATACCTGCTGGGTAAAGGAACTGAAGGATCTCCCGAGAGAAGAATTTTAAGCTAGAGGGGGTCATGGACAGATTTTTTACTAGGAACATTTTGGAAGTGAGGTAGCAAATAGTTCTTGGTGTAGACATGAAGGAAAACAAGACTAGGTTAGCAGCTATGGTGCTTCCAGCAATAGTGAGGAAGGAGACGAGGGAATGGCGAAGCAGACCCGGGGTTGCTGATTGGCTATGTGCTTGGAGAGGTGTACACAAATGAGCTAACTGACCTAGAGTGTGTCTAAATGCCTTGACCGAGGTCATTCCGCTAGTTAACAGCACAGCTGATATGAGACGCCAGGTCATCTAATTCCAAATCCATTGTTCTCATTACTATGGCCTATGAGTATTTGAAAGCCAAATAAAAAAATGAGGTTAAAATTTAAATGCTTTAGGGATACTTGCTCCTTAGAAATTCTTCGTACAACCCCAAAGGTACAATCACCCCTTAAATAACATTGTAAAACTGATCAACAAGATGTCCTGATGTTTAATTCATAAATTGTTTGACCATGTGTTGCGGGGGGAGGGAGGGAGAGGCGTCCTGGGGATTGAACTCAATCTGAGTGCTGTCCCTGAGCTTTTTTACTTAAGGCTAGCACTGTGTCATTTGAGCCACAGCTCTGCTTTCCAGGATTTTTGGGTAGCTAATTGGAGATAAGAGTCCCATGTACCATCCTGCCCTAGCTGGCTATGAGCTCTAGTCCTCAGTGATCAGCCTCCTGGGTAGCTAGGATTATGGGTATGAACCACTGGCACCCAGCAAAAGTTGTATTCTTTCTGAATAGTTTGTCAGTATTGTATGAGAATGAAAAAGTATGCTATTTTTTAAACTGTTTTATTGTGTGGAAGTAGTTCTTTCGTTCACCATGTGAGTTTATGAGGACAATACGTCTTGATCAATGCCACCCCTTCATCCCCTCAATAGTACGTTGTTGTTTTTTATGTGACTGTAGCAGTAATACAAGTTTTGACAGTAGAGGAAGCAGTGAAGATATTAAGAGAGCCAGTATCCTACTGATCCGGAAATTATACATACTGATGCAGAACCTTGAACCCCTTCCTAACGATGTGATTCTTACCATGAAACTCCATTATTATAATGCAGGTAAGCAGAGACCTTTAGTTGAATTCCTAAGCTCTGAACTACTATCTTATTTAACAGAAGGATTTTGCAAGTATCTGAATGATGTCTGATCTTATTCACAAAATAGATCTGACTTATTCATGTGTGTGTGTGTGTGGGTGTGGGTGTGTGTGTCCGCGCACGCGCCGGTCATGGGGCTTAACTCAGGGCCTTGAGTTCTTATTTGGCTTTTTTTGCTCAATGCTGGGTGCTCTGTCACTTGAGCTACAGCTTCACTTCTAGCTATTTGGTGGTTGATTGGAGATAAGAGTCTAATGGACTTTCCTGCCTGGGCTGGCCTTGAACTGCAATTCTCGGATCTCAGCCTCCTGAGTAGCTAGGGTTACAGGTGTGAGCCACTGGCACCCAGCTTGACTTTCTCCTTTGTGCCAATCCTGAGGCTAGAAATTAGGTTTAGGTACTGTCCCCGAGCTTCTGTTTTTGCTCAAGGGTAGTGCTGTATCACTTGAACCACACACAGCATCACTTGTGGCGTCTTCTGAGTAGTTTGTTGGAGGTAAGAGTCTCATGGACTTTCCTGCCCCAGCTGGCTTTGAACTGTGATCCTCAGTTCTCAGCCTCCTGAATAGCTAGGATTACAGGCATGAGCCATCGGTACCCAGCCTGACTTACTCTGTTGAAATGCTATTTTAATGACTTTTGCCCTTCTCATTTTGCAGTGACTCCGCATGATTACCAACCCCCTGGCTTTAAAGAAGCCGTAAACTCACACTTCCTGCTGTTTGACGGGGATCCTGTAAACATGCATGTTGGGGTAGTCTCCACTGGCTTTCATAAACTAAAAGTAAAGGTAACCACGGAGACCAACAGAGTGTCCGACCCGGAGGACAGCATGACCGAGATCGTCCATCAGGGCCTGGACTATGAGGAGGAGGAAGAGGAGTACAGCAATCAAGTAAGGCCAAGTTCTGGTGAGCCTCCACTGCTTCAGTTAAATACAGTGGACCCCTTTCCATTTCAACACGGGGCAGCTCACAATAACAGAGTCCAGCAGGGCATGCCAGGTATAAAAACAAACAAAATGAACTCCTGACATCAAGGGGGTTTTAGCCAAAAAGTGTAGTCTTCAAGGAGGAGTGAGAAATTGTCTATGACTAGAGGGAAAGGAATAGTTAGTTGCCAATAGATTTAATAGATTTATTTAAGATACCCATGAATTTAGAACAAGTGGGAGTCTTGTGTGTTTTTTTTTTCTTGTCCTGGGACTTGAACTCAGGGCTTGGGCACTCTTCCTGAGCCTCTGTGCTCAAGGCTAGCACTGTACCACTTGAGCCACAGTTGCACTGCCTGGTTTTTTTGTGTGTGGTTAATTGGAGGTAAGAGTCTTACAGATTTTCCTGCCTTGGCTGGCTTCAAACTTTGATCCTCAGATCTCAGCCTCCTGAATAGCTAGGATTACAGGTGTGAGATACCAGTGCCTGACAAGGAAGTTTTCTGTTTTATACGTAACATATTTGTAGGACTTAAAAATATTTTAAGCATTTACACACAATAGAAATATACATTAGCCTTTGATTACTGGAAAGAAAATGGTAGTCAACTGTCACATACAAAGAGACAAGCTTTGGAATGAGACCACTGGGGAGAGCCGAGGGTGGGGGGTTGTAGCTAGTAGGGTAGATAAGCAGGACTCTGAGCTCTTCACACCAGCATTATCTTCAGGACTTAGAACTGGGGACCTTCTGAGGCCTCACTGTATTCTAGAGGAATGTATACCATTAACTGACTTTCTGGATAATTGTATTTACTCTGTGCTGACACTGTATTAACAAGGTCTGTGACAAAAATGTTTTTAGGCAAGAAGGGATACTATAAAATCTTCTCATGACGTATTTGGAGACTAGCACGATAATGTGAGATAGTCTGAGTCCTTCTTCAAGAAGCCAACTGGACTGGACTGGGTAACTTCTAAAGGTGTCTTCTAGATCTTTAACTCTCTTTATGTTTAGTTCAATGAAAGAAGTACTAGTCTTCACTCAATTAGTAGCAATAATTGAAGCAAACAACATTCTATCTTCTTAGTGTTTTACCATGTCAGACATGAAAACCTTTTTTTTTTTTTTGCTCAGTCATAGGGCTTGAACTCAGGGTCAGGGTACTGTCCCTGAGCCCTTTTGGCTCAAGGTTAGTGCTTTACTACTTGAGCCACAGCACCACTTCTGGTTTTCTGGTGGTTAATTGGAGATAAGAGTCTCACAGATTTTCCTAGCTGGGCTGGCTTTGACCCATGATCTTCAGATCTCAGCCTCCTGAGTTGCTAGGATTACAGGTGTGAGCCACCAGTGCCCAGTGGAAAACCTTACATTTTGATGCATTTTTTCTTCTGATTCGCTCAAGGAAGATGTAGGTAATATGGAAAGGCTAAAACAAGAATTACAGTTAAGAATTTAATTGACTTGTCTATACATGTGTGTTTGTGTGCACATGCACACCATACTGGACACTATCCCTTAGCTTTTTCATTCCAAACTGGCACTCTACCACTTGAGCCATAGCTCCACCTCTGGCTTTTTGCTGGTTCATTGGAGATAAGAATCTCATGGAATTTCCTGCTTGGGCTGGCTTCAACCCATGATCCTCAGATCTCAGCCTCCTTAGTAGCAGGATTATAGGTGTGAGCAACCAGTGCCTACCTAGCTTAATTGGATTTTTTTTTTTATCTTTCCAAAATTAACATTTTCTTTCTCTCTTGCCAAATGGAATGTAAACAGGTTAGCTTGTAAAGGAGTATTTTGTTGCTAGAGTAGACATGTGGTAGCACTTCCTAGGTTTAGTAGAGGTGTGTGTAGGAAGATCTGTGCTTGGTGGTGAACTTGGCTGATGCAGGTTCCTCCCTCTCACAGTCATGTGAGTGGTTAGTAAGCCTAGAATGCTGTCCACAAACATTCTATTGTCCTTCAGGAAATGCATGCACATTCATATGTATATATTTGGGGAGCCTTTACTTAAAATTATTTTGAGAGATAGCATGTATCAAGGAAAGTATGTAAAATAATAGGTGCCATTTAAATAATAATCAAAACATCCATAAACTCTCTGATGAGGCTAAGAAGTAGAGCATCGCTACTATCCTATAGCTTGCCATATACCCTTCTTCATGGCACCCTACTCCCGGTAAAGGCCGCCACCCCTGCCTTTGATGATAATCTTTCCTTTGTTCTTTGTAGTTCTGTCCTCAGCATCATGCTCGTTGAAGTTGTATGTAGTAGTCATCATACTCCAAGTATTCTATGAGATTTTGGTTGGGCATGGTGGCTGACATTTATAAAGCCAGAAACTCAGGAGGTAGAGAGCAGGAGGATCATGGTTAGATACCAACCCGGGGGGTGGGGGTGGGGGTAAATAAAAAACACAACAAGATCTTATCTCAACAATAAGAAGCTAGCTGTGTTGGGACCTGTCTATCATCTTAGCTATGCAAGAAGCATAAGTAGGAAGATAGACCCAGGATTGGCCCAGGTTGAACTATAATCTCAACAATCTCAGTCTCCCTAGTAGCTAGAATTGCAGCCATGAGCTACCAGCCCTTAGCTTTAGTGTTTTCTTAGTGAATAAGAGCTGAGTCTCCTAATGGGGTCTCACTGATGACATCATTCTCTCTCTAGTCTATTATCTTCTAAGAGTGCCAGGCCCTAAAACTGACAATCATTTTCAAATATCTCAAATTGATTTATTTTGTGTAATTCCAAGTGGCAGAAAGAGAGTCAGTAGATGAAATTACAGTTGGGAGCAGAGTAGGGGTTGATTGTGGCCCTCTAGGAAGAATATGTTTTGGTATTGAGCATAGAGCCCAGGCCTTATATATGCTCTACCCTGAGCTACAAGCCCATCCACAGAAAGGAGAACTTTTAAGACAATATTATAGTAACATTAAAATAATTTTAAAAAGTAATGCAAGCTGGGCACCAGTGACTCATGCCTGTTACCCTAGCTACTCAGGAGGCTGAGATCTGAGGATTACGGTTCGAAGCCAGCTGGGGCAAAAAGTCCCCTTGAGACTCTTAACTCCAATAAACTACTCAAAAAATCCATAAGTGGTGAGGTAGATCAAGCACTAGCCTTGAGCACAAAGAGGCTCAGGGACAGCACCAAGGCCCTGAGTTCAAGCCTTAGTACTGGCAAAAAGAAAAGAGTAATGCAAATCTTTCGATTGCTATTATGTTCATTTTTCAGTGTCATCCTTGGTATTTTTTCTTTTTTTTCCTCTCCAGTATTTTTAATAAACACATTTATTTGAATATGATTTAAATCATGGTGCATATGTAAATTTATTTTATACTTAACAGTAATTTTGTAAATATGTCCTACCCTAATCTTTGTATTTTTAAAGTTTATTTTTTTTTGTTTGTTTCACTTAAGTATGCTATCATTTCTCTATTTTTTTTTTTTTTTTTTTTGGGTCCGGTTGTGGGGCCTGACCTCTGGGCCTGGGCGCTGTCCCTCAGCTCTTCAGCTCAAGGCTAGCGCTCTACCACTTGAGCTACCGCACCACTTCCGGCTTTTTTCTTTTTGCTTATGTGGTGCTGAGGAATCGAACCCAGGGCCTCAGGCATGCAAGGCAAGCGCTCTACCACTGAGCCACCTTCCCAGCCCCTCATTTCTCTACTTTTAAATATTTAAGTTGCTGTAGTTGGATATTGAATGTTCCCAAAGGCCCACTGTTAAAGGCTTTCTTCTCAGGCCGGTACTGGACTCTTTTCAGAAATGGTCCTAGTGTGAGGCCTTTAGGTCATTGGGGTCCCGTTGTTGAAGGGGATTAAGGGCCTGCCTCTCCCCCCTACCCTTTGTTCTCCAGGTGCTCCCGCCACGGTGTGCTGTTCCCAGGCAGGTCCCCACAAGGGACAGGCCATCAAGGACGAGGACCTTGAAAACTGTGAGTCAAAATGAAGCTAGTTTCTTTATAAGTTGATTATCTCAAGCATTTTATTATAGTGACAGAAAGCCAACTAATAGTCATTTTCATTCCTGATTTTTAAATTATCAATAGTACTGTCGTAAATGCCTTTGCTCATATGAAAACACTTCCCCTCATTTTCAATGGATGTATTATTATCAGAAGTAAAAATTTTAAAGCCTGAAAATTAATATACTTCTTGAGTGAGGAATATAATTTCATTTTCCAGAAACTGCCAGCTTCTCCGCCTCATCAGGATGGATTTTCTCACAAGGACAAGTCTGTAAACATCTGAGCCTTGGGAGGGGATGAGTTCCCCGCCACTAGCTGTGCTCATGCACAGATGCACACTGCTGTCAGGATAGACTGGGGCTGTTGCAGAAAAAAAAAAAACCCCACAAGTTAGAGAAATGATTGAACTAAACTGATCTCTAAAATCTCTAACCCTGGGTTATTTTTGAATTCCTACTAAGAGAATAATGGCCACTGTGAGGAAAAGCAAGAAGTGTAAGATACAGTTTCTGCCCTTGAGAACTGGGGCTGAAGCTATAGCGCCTGTATCTTTTGAGAAATAGTACCGCAGGGTATCTGAGGGACAGAAATAATCTGAACAAACAGTATTGAGCAATGTTTTCAGGGCTTTAGATGTATTATCACATTTAGTCATTCCAGAACTTTAAGAGATAGATGCTATTGTTATCTTGATTTTGGTGGGGGTTTTTTTTGGGGGGAGGGTCCTGTCAGTGGGCCTGAACTCTGGGCCTGGGCGCTGTCCCTCAGCTCTTCAGCTCAAGGCTAGCGCTCTACCACTTGAGCCACAGCGCCACTTCCGGCTTTTTTCTTTTTGCTTATGTAGTACTGAGGAATCGAACCCAGGGCCTCATGCATGCAAGGCAAGTGCTCTACCACTGAGCCACCTTCCCAGCCTCTGTTATCTTGATTTTGAAAATGAGAAAACTGAGACTTGGAGAAATTAGCCCATGGCTTTATGCACAGTTAAATAAGCAGCAGGGCCAGAATCACAACCATAGTGCTTGGGCGCCAAATGTGCTCTTAGGAGGTGAAAATTAGGATACGTGGGCACTGTGTGGGAAAGTTTCATGGCGTGGGTGTTTTGGGGTTTCATTTTTTGGGGGGGCTGGGGCTTGTCCCCTGAGTCTCTTTGTGTTCAAGGCTAGTGCTCTAGCTCTTGAGTCGCAGCTCCACTTTCAGCTTTTTTGGTGGTTAATTGGGGATTAGAGTTTCATGGACTTTCTTGCCTGGGCTGGCTTTGAACCGTGATCTTCAGATCTCAGCCTCTTGAGTAGCTAGAATGACTGGCATGAGCCACCATCACTGGCTGGAGTGGGTGAGTTTATGAACAAGTCTTACTTTGATTGGCAGAGTTAAGGCTGAGGACAGTCCAAGCAAATTGGAAAGTATAGTGAGGTGGCATCAGAACATCTATTTCTGTGACCTGCAATTCTATCTCTGAACTTTCCACACCTACTCTGTAGTTAAAATGGCTTTGCTGAAATAATTTTACTCGGTAAACTCTAACTCCAAGATTTAAAAACTTAAAAAAATTATAACTGGGTAGGCAGCATGACTCTGAAGTGACGGAGCGCTTTCCTATCAAGTGCAAGGCTCCAGGGCCAAACCCCAGCACCACCAGGCTTGCAGGGGTAAGCACCCTTGGAGTCAATAAGGTTGACCTGGAGGCGTAACTCAAGTGATAGAGTGCTTCCAGCTCTGTCCCCACCAAAACATACATACATATATAATATCTACATATTATATATCTATTATACATATATACTATCTACTAATACATAAAATCTAATATATACATATACATATAATATGTATAGATATATGTATATAGTAAGTATCTATTATATGTCACAATAAACAGGAGTGAGTAGGTATCTCTTTTGTTTGCTGACTTCATCTCATATGTGTGTATATATATATATATATGTATATATTCACAGACACACAGGAGTGGGTTGTATTCTGCAACTTTTAAATTTCTGACATCCACTGGGCACTGGTGGCTCATACCTGTAATCCTAGCTGAATTCAGGATGAGATCTGAAGATTGCAGTTTGAAGCTAGCAGGAAAGTCTTTCAGACTCTTAAGCCCAATTAACCAGCAAAAAGCCAGAAGTGGAGCTGTGTCTCAAATGATAGGGTACCAGCCTTGAGCAAAAAAACTAAGGGACAATGCTTAGGTACTGAGTTCAAGTCTCAGCATTGACACAAAAATAAGTAAAAAAACAAATTTCTGACATCCTATGAGTGTTGATATCTTAGAAAGAGTTGCTAGATACTCTTTCTAGAAAAAGGTTTTTCTAGGCTTTTCCTTCGTATTTAGGAATTTTTCCTCATCTATAATACTTTCATTTCAGTGAAGCACAAATATTAATACAGATGATTTTTTGAGAATTAGCTAAAAATAGAGAATATTATTAGTTTATAAATGCCACAGATATTTCTAAAGTTACTTAATAGTTTACCATTTGATTTAATTACAATGGAAAGTTTGATTTTAGGACCTCAGCTTTTTTTTACTCGTTGAGCCATACCTCCAGTTAACTTTTTGATGAGTTGGAGATGAGTCTCAAAGATCTGTCTGTCTGTCTTTAAACCATGATCCTCAGACCTCAGCCTCATGAGTAGTTAAGATTATAGGCATGAACCACCAGTGCCCAGGTGAGTGATTTTCTTTTTAAGCATATTTCAAACATACACAAATGATATTGCACTATTTTCCAGGTGCAATAAAAGCTGTATTTTCATGGAGTTCTGCTTATTCAATTTAAAAATAATTTTTGAGGTAGCTTTTCTCTTTTTTATGAATTTCATTAAAGACTTTCTAAACCAATCAGATGCTGGTAGATCATACCTATGAAATCTGGAGATTGTGGTTTGATGCTAACCTAGGCAGACAACTCTGAGAAACTCTTATCTCCAAATAACAAAAAAAAAAAAAAAAGGAAGTGAAGGTGTGGCTCAAGTAATTGAGTGCCAGCTGTGATTTAAAAAAAAAAATCCAATAAGTGTGTAGACCCTAAGTTCAAGCTCCAAGACCAAAAAAAAAAAAAAAATCCATAAACCACATGTACTTAGCCTACAGTCATTTTTCCCTCTAGAAAGCCCGTATCTCATCTTTTTGTCCTAAAAATTTAATTAAAGTGTAAGTGATTTAGTTACAAGAAATTAATATGCTAAGTATTTTGGTGCCAAAGTAAACGACAACATTGAAGTAGGGATTGGAAAAAATCTTTTCTGAATTCCTTAGAATTACTTTGTGTTCTGGCCAGCAGATTAGGACAAAAGCCTTTTCATTCAGAACGTATTTTCTCCTAGTGAGCTGAAGTTTTGTATATTTTGGAGCAATAGTCTGATGATCTTCATAGCTTCACATCTCATGCTGTGTGCATGCCTTGTTGGATGCAGTGTGGTGTTGGCAAGATGCTCAGATTCTTGGAAGTGGAGTTGATTGAAATCGGTGAGGAGGCCCATTATCTACAGAAAAGATTCCACCTTTAAAACTGTCCCCTCATTCTCTCCTCCTCTATAGTCTTTTTCATGTTTTTTCTTTCTTTTTTTTTTTTGGGTCCGGTCGTGGGGTCTGAACTCTGGGCCTGGGCACTGTACCTCAGCTCTTCAGCTCAAGGCTAGCCCTCTACCACTTGAGCCATAGCGCCACTTCCGGCTTTTTTCTTTTTGCTTATGTGGTGCTGAGGAATCGAACTCAGGGCCTCAGGCATGCAAGGCAAGCGCTCTACCACTGAGCCATATTCCCAGCCCTTTTTCATGTTTTTTCAAGTAGGATTTTTTCGATTTATTTTTCTGTTCTCTATTACAGAATGTAATTGTTATGTTCTGATAACCATGAGAAAAGGAATGAAAGTTAATTTTTGCACTACTCTTAGAAGCCATTTCTTTTTTTCTGTATGACTCATTCTAGAACATCCAAGGGAATTGTTTCTTTCCTGTCCTGAGTGGGAAGAGCACCCAGATGATCAATGAATATCTCAAATACAGAAAGCTGGGGCTGAGAAGGTGGCTCAGTAGGAGAGTGCTTGCCTTGAATGCATGAGGCCCTGGGTATTCTTCAACACCACATAAGCAGAAAGAGCTGGAAGTAGGGCTGGGAAGGTGGCTCAGTGGTAGAGCGCTTGCCTTGCATGCATGAGTCCTGGGTTCGATTCCTCAGCACCACATAAGCAAAAAGAGAAAAGCCGGAATTGGTGCTGTGGCTCAAGTGGTAGAGTGCTAGCCTTGAGCTGAAGAGCTGAGGGACAGTGCCCAGGCTCAGAGTTCAAGACCCACAACCTACCAAAAAAAAAAAAAAAGCCTAGATAGGTGCGCTAAGGGAAGGAAGGCCAGTGGAGTTCAGTAACTCCTCTAAAGGAGGGACACTACTGAATCCTAACATTATAAGCAACTTTTTTGTTTTTAAAGAGTAAGACAGGGGGCTGGGAAGGTGGCTCAGTGGTAGAGCGCTTGCCTTGCATGCCTGAGGCCCTGGGTTTGATTCCTCAGCACCACATAAGCAAAAAGAAAAAAAGCCGGAAGTGGCCCTGTGGCTCAAGTGGTAGAGCGCTAGCCTTGAGCTGAAGAGCTGAAGGACAGCGCCCAGGCCCAGAGTTCAGGCCCCACGACCGGACCCCAAAAAAAAAAAAAAAAAAGAGTAAGACATAATATTCTATTTGGCTAAAAAAAAAGAGTTATCTGTAGCAATACAATCTTATGTACACTGAAGCCAGTGAAATATTAGGGTTAATTTAAGTATAGTTTTTTTCAAAATACATTTATTGAAATTTAGTCAATTTCACATTGGAAAAAAATTACAATGTTCCCCATCTTGAATTATAGCCAGCTGGATGGGTGGCTAGCAGTAGAGTTCCTGTCCAGCAACTTCAAGGCTATGAGTTCAGATCCTAGAATTATATCCTATTAGCTGAGTTTTCTCTTTCTTTCTCTCTTTCTTCCTCTCTCTTTC